TCTTTTCCATGCTGGTTGCTCCTCCTCTGTGGTGGAAGGAATGCCTCCAAGACAAGGAAGTTTCAATTAGGACCCCGAAACCCAAAGCTGCAGTTTTATGGCTTTAAATTAACATACAGAGATTCGCTCCAGGTACCGTAACCAAACCAACATCCAGCCCTGCTCTCTGATTACAGGCCTGATAAAGGATTTATGCAATATAGCACAGGAAGCTCTCCCTTTGCTGGCTGCCATTCCATGGGGCAGTGCCCCTCGTGAGGAAATGATGGGGCAGTGGCAGAGCAGATAAAGAGCACAGGGCTGATCCTCAGCTGGTGTAAATCAGCCACTGCTGGGCTCCAGACAGACTTGCCACCCTTGGCTCCTGCAACAATTCATCCCCCTGTCAGCATTTACCATGTTTTCTTGGGTAAAATGACACATTAACCTGCAAGGACCGTGGATTCTCAGCTGTAGCTTCTTCACTTGCCAGTACAGCAACTCTCAACCTACCTGAGCTGGGAGCTTTCAGATTTTCACCCATCCTTACAGACTATCTTGAATTAATAAGGGCCAGTGATACACCAGCAGATAAATTCAAACGTCAAAAAAAAATCAAAATCTTTCTGTCTGGGAGAGGGGGAACCAAAAATGGGAAAAGTAAACACATTTGACCCCACACACACAACATTAACTCCTTCACTGTGGCTGTAAAAGTCAGGATTCTGCAAGCAGCCACTTGAGGCAAGTTCTGTGTGCTGAACCCTCACAAGGTATCAGCTCCCTGCTTTTGTGTTAGCCCTGGTTAATCACACACACACAAAAAATAAAAATAAAAAATAAATAATAATAATAATAATAATAGCAATAATAATAATAAAGGGTTTCCAAAAGTGCTCCTTTTCAGCCCTTCCCAGCAGTGCACCCGCCCCCCCTGCTGCCGAGGGCTGGTCATGGCACTGCGGGACAATAATGAGATTTAAAGCTGGAACACCTTCCCAGCGGTGCAAACACGCATTTCCTTGCACATCCTAACCAAGAGCATCCCTGTGACCACGGTCCTGGAGCAGGACCAGCAGGGCCCAAACCATCCCACACAGGGCTTTATCCAGCCCATTCCCAAAGCCTCTGGTGACAGGCATTCCACGATCCCCTTGGACAACGTGTTCTCATGCTACGACAAAATTCCTGTTGCTTTTCACCAAGTGATTGATCCTCGACCAAATGAGAAGTGCTCTTGGCAGGCTGATGTGGGATTATTCCCAGAGCGACACTTCACCTGCTCTAAGAGAACAGGGTGAGCCTCATCTGGATATTTGACCCATCCAGGATGTCAGAACAAGCACAGAAATCCAAATCCGCCAAGGTCACCACATCAGACACACCGGGCAACGACACCTCTAACCCCCAGTTTGCATTCCTTCTTCCTATTAGGATTTGCCTTCCTTTAGTCATTATGTCCTTTGTAGGAATAAGACCCAATTCCAGCTCTCCCCTTAACTCCTGAATGTAATTAAAAACTCTTAAAAAGAAAAAAAACAGTCTTCAAAATGCATGTGAGCTACCTATTATTTGTAGTATAATTGGGGAATGGAAGTATAATCACCTGTACAAAAAAAAAAAAAAACCAAACAAATAATCAAATTACACCTAAATTTCCCATGAAATCATCAGAAAATTTCTGCTGCTGAAAAGCAAACAAAATAAAAAATAAAAAAATAATTTTTTCTTACAAACTTCAGAACTCCTTAAGCAGACAGTAATCAGGCAGACTGGCAGAGCCTCGAGCCAGGGTGTGCAAGGACATGTCTGTGGCACCACGATGTCCAAGAACAAGCCCAGCACTGAACACGCTCCCCTGGCTTCATTAATCCAACCCTTGCTCGTGTATCAAAGTGCAGCACGTTTTCTTGTAAAAATGATTAAGCTGCTAATTAAGCTGTTTATAACTTGTTTCCCTGGTTGCTAATGATAATTAACATGCAAATTAGCTGAGGGAAGAGAGGCACAGGGGTCCTCAGTTCATTACCAAGTTAATTACTGTTTGCATACTTAAACATAACAGTTATAAATGGTGGCATTTAATGTAATGGCCAAGATGATAATTATACCAACGACATTTTGAAAAGTCATTTCACTATGTGCTATTTTTCTGGGTGATTAATGTTTCCATGGCTGGTTGATAAACTTACTCCAAACCCACGGGTTGGAAACAGCATAACCAGACAAGTTACCCCTTAACAACACCTCCTTAGCCCTCTTTGTAAATGAGGGAAGGAATGAGAGGAAAGAAAAGCAGTTAAGTCTCAATATTAACAGAGGAGGGATAAAGTGGGCTGGTTAACACTGTCTGTTTAATCTGAGCTGGCAACATATCAGTGGGGTGTTTGTAACAGCTTCCCCTTTTTTATACCTCGTGGTCTGTTATTCCATGTCACAGCAGTGCTGGGAATCCCTTCTGAGGCTCAGCCCATCAAACTCATCACACCAGGCACTATCCTTGGCTTCCAGTGTTTATATCCTCAATAATCATGGCAAGTAACACATCACACAACACCAACATGACACTGGCCACTCTGCACTGGGAAGAAGGGGAGCAGAGGGCATTCATTTTGGGGGGCACTGCCACTTGCTTGGCATATTAAGGACTTTGCTCGAGTGAACCTGTTCCCGTGACCCTCCCAGGACACAGGTGTACTGAGCTAGTTGGAAAATCAGCCTGGCTGGGCTGATTATGGTGGTGAGAGAGATGTGAAATCTGGGAAGTTTGGCTGTCCAGAGGTCAGTCCTTCTCCCTGATTACACGTGGCCCAACTGCTCTCAGGAGTTTACATCCAGAAAATCTTGTACTTGCAAATCTGGGCTGGGAAATGCCAGTGAAATGCCTCAAAGCAGGAAATCACAGGATTACAAGGGGTAAATTCTGTAATACTCATCCAGATCCAGACCCACAGGGTCAGACTATAAAATGACCAAGCTAAAACTTCTCTGGCCTCTGCCACCTTCCACCCACAGGTTTCAGAGCTCTTTACAAGCACCACATTAATGACTGGACATGGCACCAAAGACTGGACATGGCACTTAGTGCCACGGTCAGGTTGACAAGGTGGTGATCAGTCAAAGGTTGGACTCTACCTTGGAGGTCTTTTCCAACCTGATTGTGATTTCAGCTAGAAATGTCTACCCTCCAACCTTTGTATCAGAGGATGTGGCATCAGAGGGGAGGCAGGTGCATGAACATCACAAGGAAACACCATGAACGTTGTGGGGGAACCTCCTTCACTCACCCCACACGTTTTTGTTCAAAGTCAAGCACACCCACCTGGCTGTGGAATAAGCAGATCCACTTCCCTGCCTCTCATGGAGCCACTGCAGGACTCCCAGCATGAGAACATATTGAATTATGCAGCTGCACAACTGAATCCCACAGTTACAGCACAGACAACTGAGATAGCAAAGCCTGTGTGTGGTGACCTCCGGGTGCTTTAATCTCCAGAATATAAACAAAGGGATTATTTCTTTCTCTAATGGAACCATCACGCTTTTCTTGTAATCTCACTCAAGTGCATCTTAATCCTGCTCCTTATCAAGGAGCCCTGCAATCCTCTGCATTATCATTCTTACAGAGGGAATGGAGATCAAAATTAGCTCTGCAAACAGGAAAAAGCAAAATTTGCTGACTTGTGCTGTGTTTACTCCCCCCCACACACCTCCATTTAAAAATTTATCTGTAATCAGAGACACCACGGGGAGCTATTGTAGTATACTTACTATTTAATGAGTCTGCAGCATATTCAATATTTAATGTTTGCATAAACATCTCCCCACTTTTCCCCCTCCTTGTGCTTCTATGATCCTGGAAAAGGAGCTTGTCATGCCTACCCCACGGGACAAACAGCAAATTGTCTGGTGGCTTGAGAGGAACCTGAGGAGCCTTGAAGTTACAGCTCTCATTCCACCACTTACAACCTCACAGAAATACCATTTTTCTATCTGCACTGAGCTCCTTAGATGCTGTTCCTCTTAATCCTTTAAGGAACAAAGTTTGGAACCTAAATTAATTTAAGTTGAAGTTTGATACACAACATATAATTGATTGTATCTGTACCACCTGCTATAAAACCCTAAGTCAGCAAAATAATGCCTCGTGTTGCTGCTCCCCACAGGTTGTAACAACATCCCCCAAACCATCAGTGTGTCGCAGGGAGCACACAGGACTCTGAACCAAACCAGGACTCCTTCTGCTGGAAATGATGGATGGAGGACACTGCCATCCTCATGTTCTTTGGATCTACAAGGCAAAATATGGCTGGAAGCAACTTCCAGACCACTCAGTCATGCAGCAAAGTCAAATTATGGGTAATGATTTTTGCAGCCTGGCCCACGATCCGTTGGAGGCTCCGGTCTCGGTTTTATTCCCACAAGCTCAATTCCTGAACCCCAGTGGGGGGAGGCAAAGGTGTTTGATCAGCCCAGCTCCCTTTAATGTGATTTCTATTTCAGAACTGGCTCTTTTGATGCCCTCGAGTTTTTCTTGGCAATATCACCTGTGGCCCGATGTGACAGCAATGCTAAATTATATCTTGATGGCTAATTAGGGTAATTAAAGTGAAAGTAATCAAATCAACATAACGAGCAAACTCTTAATAAAATGTCAAAAAAATCTCCATCCATCATAGAGGGTTGTGGGTTTTTTTGCTCTTTTGAATGTCAAGGAACATGGAGAAGGAAAGAGCTGGGCGTCAGAGCGGCCCTGGCTCAAAGGGCCATCGCCAGGCAGGGAGCGGGCTGTGTTTGTGGTCTCCCAGCAACAGAGCTCCCCCTCCCTCTCTCCCTCCCTCCCGGCTCATCTCACCTCAGCTCGGCTCAAACCACCCCAGCTCCGCTCTCCAGGATCCACCTCACCCCCGGGCTCGTCCCCCCCTCCTGTCCCCGCACCCCCGGGGGTGCCCCGAGGGCCCCTCACCTGCGCAGGTGAGGGGATGAGCCGCAGGAGCCTCGTCTGTCCCACCGGGGCGAAAGCTGCAAGTTCTCCTTTTCCGAGGCCAGGGGAAAAGGTAAGCGGTGGGTGAAGCATCGAGGAGCGGTCCCGTCTGCCCCGTGCCAGCGGCTGATGGTGAAAGGTTTGTCACAGCGGGGTCTCAGCCCGATGGGAGCCCCGACTCATCCTGGATGGTCCCTGGCAGGGAGCAGTGCCCAGGGTGTGTGGCTGCTTCCCAGCCAACCTAACCTGGCTGGAAACCAAGACCCTCTGTACTGCTTTCCCCCTAAAAAAGCTCGCAGTGCCCAACCCCTGGCTTTTCACAGCAACCTTTGATTGCTCATGGCCCTCGGCTGGAATGAGGTAAAGTAGAAACACCTGTGCTCTGCAGCCCCTCACCTGCCGTGTTTCTGTCAGACCCCTGCCCCACAGCCCTCACCTGCCGTGTTTCTGTCCCACAGACACCAGCCCTGTCACACGGGTGATGCTGCCCGGTGAGGGCCGCGGTGCAGAGCATGTCCCCCGAGGAGCTCGCTGCCCTGCTCTGCGGGGAAGGGGACCAGCACCTCGCCCAGCAGGACCTTCCCACAGCCACTGCCTTCTACCTGGCTGCCTTCAGCTGCTGTGCCCCCGTGGCGGTGCAGAGAGTGAACTGCATGGACAGCGGGCTGCAGGAGCGGCTGATAGCCACTCTGGAGAGCTGGTGCAAAGGCAAGGGGCAGATTCCCAGCATCCAGAGCAGGAACCTGGCCGTCGTGTCCCTCAGTGTGGGAATAGCTGCCATCTTCCTGTCCACCCTGAGCCCCGACAACGTGGCATCCTCGGTGTACAGGCTGGAGGCCCTGCTGCGGCGGGGGTGCCCCGAGGAGGTGGTGAGGCAGTGCAATGCCCTGCTGCAGGCGGGCACAGGGTGTCCCCTGGAGCTGCTGCTGCTGAGGGCCTTGGCGGCGGTGCTGTCGGGGACACGGCTCAGGGAGGGGGTGGCAGGGTATGTCCAAGCCTTTGCGCTGCACGGGGCCGAGGCGGTGGCCCAGGTGTGCAACAGGCAAGGGGAGCACCTGCCACGGGTCATCCAGGCCTTCTCCAGTTACCTCTCAGCGTGTCAGGAGGAAAGCCCAGACTGCAGCTCCTCGGACCAGTGGCTGGGCAACTGCTACGGCTTCCTGTCGGCGGTGGCACCGGGGGATGTCTGGGTCTGCAGGCTGCAGGCAGCTCACCTCCTAAAAAAGGGCAGATTCCAAGAGTGTGTGGCCATTTGTACCAAGGCCCTCAAGGGTTTCTCAGCTGATCAGCTCAGAGATGAGGCAGCTTTGGGTCTGCTCTTGGAACGGGCTGCTGCCTATTTCTCCCTGGGTGGATGGATGGAGGAGATGATGCAGGATTTAGCAGAAGCCTTTGCTGCAAACCCTGCCCAGGCCAGGAAACTCTTTGAAGAGCTTTTCTCGCCACGTGACACTGAGAAGATTGAAGACCAGGCTAGAACTGTCCTGGAGGTGAAGTTTGCAGCATACAGGGAGGCTGTGCGGGCTCGCACCGAGCTCAGGGGCAATCGTGGGACTGAACTGCTCCCTCCTGTCATCCAGACCATCCAGCTCCTCCTGCAGCTCTGCCCGGGGTCCCAGAGGGAGCTCAGTGTCCGGCTGGCAGACTGCCAGCTCCTGCAGGGCCACCCCGGGGCTGCCCTGGCCATCTGTGACCAGCTCCTGGCAGCAGAGCACAAAACCTACCACAACACCCTGCTGGCACTGCGAGGGTTCTGCTCCCTCCACGCCCAGGACCATCAGCAAGCCCTGCAGGACTTTCAGAAGGTCATTGAGCACTATTCCCCACACCCCAACAGCTGCATTAAAGCCCTGTGTGGCCGTGGGCTCATCCGCATTTCTGGTGGCAGCTCCTACCTGACAGCCCTGGATTATATCACGGCCTGCCAGCTGAAGCTGGAAGAAACCATCTTCACAATCAAGTCCTATGTGCCATGGAACCAAAGGGGACTGCTGCTGAAAGTTCTCCAAGAGGAAGGACAGAGGATGCTCCAGAAGAAGAGGTACCGGGGGGAGGGGGGCAGTTCAGTTCATTTTCAGAAAAAGAAACAGCGCTGGGCAGATTCCTAACCTTGAAGGTGGCTTGTTTTGTTGGTTTTTTTCCCCTCCAGAGATGCCCCTGGGGTTTTCCAGCTGGCCTGTCTCTTGGTGGAGCTGGACACTGCTGATGAGGCCTCAAGGATCCTCTGTGCTGATGCCTTGTACCAGATGGGCCGTGGGGAAGAAGCCCACAGGCTGCTGTCGCTGGCCCTCTCCAGAAACCCCCACAGGGCTCCTGTCCTGGCCAGGCTGGCGCTGCTGCAGCTGAAGAAAGGGTTTGTGTATGATGGGAACCAGGTAAGGAGCACCTGGCAAAGCTTCCTCTTTGGCACAGAGTCATTCCCTGCTGAACAGCTGCATCTGCCTGGCTTGGTTCTGCTTGTCCCAGACCTCAGTGAAAGTACAGAGTCATCCTCATGCTCAGTGCTTTGTGTGCATTGCCCTTTTATAATGAAACTTGTTGCTGTTAGAAGCTCCAGGAACAGCAACAGGGAGAGCTGTTGACACAGTGGGATTTGGAGCCCACGTGAGGTTTAGGTGATTCAACCTCTAGCGAAACTTTTCAGATCTAAATACAGACCTGAGATGCATCAGAATCACAGGACTCAGCTAAACCCAGCCCCTTCCTCTCATGCTCTTTAATGGCTCTTTTCAGCAGAGCCTTTAACCATGCAGAGCATGGCTGAGCATCCTGCCCCTGGGGACAATACTGTGGGATGGGTAATTTTCCCCTGCAGAAAAGGAGGCAGAAGTGCCACCTCATGGATTATCCTAATGAAGCACTGGAGAGGAGGGCAGGGAAAGGCACAAAGCCTCCAGAATCAGTCTGCAGTGTTCTCCCTTTAATGCTTGTGCTTGAAACCCTGGAAGACAGTCCAGCATGTTTCATTCTCCTGCCAGGGATTGCGAAGCTGAATTCCCAGGTTCTGCCATCAGAGGGAACTATTGCATTTTTTAAAATGCCATGTAAATGCTAACCCTGAAGAGAAAGGTTTTACTGTCACCACTTCACTGCTCCCTGTGAAGAGTAAAAGTTTGGTGTAATTTGCTGCCTTTGAGAAGGCTATTAATGAGTGACATGGCTTTATTATATGCTGCCCTCGGGAGCTGGATTCCTGTCTGCAGCTTCTGCTGCAAGTTCTACATGGGAACATG